AAAGATAATTAATTAAACGAGGTGGACTCACTCGGTATTTTGTTTTCATTTTAGTGCATATGGGAATGTTGGGTTCACGGTGGGCTACAGTTGCGAGAGGCAAATAAATCCCGATGCACATTGTAAGGACGCTTGGTTCGGGTTTGTGGGAAAATGGAGCAATGAGGCAAAATTTATTCTTGTAATTGTGATGATTTTTGGGAGGTTGAAGAAATTCAACAAAAGAGGTGGCAGAGCTTGGAATCTAGCATAGCATCACAACCTATTACCTGTACTGGTTGGTGCAGATGTATCGTGTGGCTTTCACGTGAATATTTTTTGTATATAGGTAAAAAAAAGTAAGCCTGTGAATTTATTTGGGATTGTGATATAATCTATATCTATCTATCTATATTATACTGTTATAAAAGGACAAATGGTTAAAGGACGGGTGGTTTTGTAAACATATGAATTGTCTATAAAAAAACTCTTACTTTGACATATTTTTAATGACAAATTGGTAATACAGTAATACCCATCATACTTTATATTTTTAATTTACAAATAAACTACCTAAAAAACCCTTACTTTGACTTATTTTTAATAATAAATTGATAATACGGTAATGCTCATCATCTCTTATATTTTTAATCAATAATTAATATTTAGTTAAATAAATATAGATACACAAACAAAACATTCTAGATCTCCTAAAAATAAGTCAAAGTAAGGGTTTTTTAGATCTCCTGAAAACATTCTAGACCTCACGAATTTGCTTCTTTCACTATCTGTCAAACTGTTTTCTTTCATATCTCCAAAAATTCAACCCAGACAGCAAGGCTTTGAAAAGATATATAATTTATGTTTTGAAAAATGTCCTTGTGTCTAATATAATTTTAATGTAAAATCATAATTACTTTAATTAATAACAAAAACTACTACACTAAAGTATTAATGTTTAAGAAAGAACACACAAAATATTGTTATATTGCAATAAAAAATACAACAGTCAAACATTCCACTGAAAATCGCAACGAATAATATTCATTGGTATAGCTTTCATTGGAAAATTTTTTTAGTTATTCCAATAGAGATTAAATAAATTACATATAATTTTAGTGAATTTAATTATTTCAATTACCATTATTTATTGTTGTGTGAATTTCAACTGAATTTTTTCAGACTATTTCAACTGTTGAAAAAACTGTCATTGAAATTGTAAATAAATCAATGGAAGTTCCATTAAAAAGCTAATTGCAGTGGGGGATACAAAATAATTTCATATTAGAGGCACTATTTAGTTAATAGAAAAAGTATACCATCAAAATAAAATAATGTCATATCAATTTATAAATTATATTTTTTCATAATTTGTCATCTTTCTCATCTATAATACATTTTTAACACATCAATATAGTCACAATAAGTTAAAAAATATTAAAAATAAAATATTTTTTCTCAATTCAACATAAGAAAATTATTGCAAATAATATATTTTTTAAAATTTTTATGAACAAAAAATTTATGTAGTAGTATAGTTAGCTCGAAAATATAATTAATAAATTTACAAATATTAATATTTGAGTATAATATTAATGACAAAATTATAATTATATACAGTATAATATACATATATACAATTAAGTGATATATAATAAGACATATGACCCAAAAAGTTATATACTTAATTTTATGAATCTTTTAACAAATATAAAGTAAAAAATATTGAATATGATAAACAATAATAAAAACATAATTAAGTTGTAACACATACTAATAAATGTAAAACAAAGTAATAAATAACAATTTTATAACTAACAAAAGTAAATACAAACTTTAAACATGTGTACTTATCAATGTAAAAGTTGAGTTATGGCAAATTAGTAATATATTAATACTCATCTTATCTTATATTTTTAAGTAAAAAATGAATTACTTAAAAAACTCTTACTTTGACATATTTTTATTAGCAATGAGCAATATACTAATACTCATCATATCTTATAACTTTAATTAATAACTAATATTTGATTAATTAAATACAAATACATAAACAAAATATTCCACATCTCCTAAAAATCAACCACAATATTCTCGCACCATTATTCCTCACGAATATGCTTTCTTCCACATATTTCCCAAATTGCTTCTTTCACATCTCTCATCAATCAACCCAACCTCAACCCAAACAACAAAAACTTTGAAAAGATATAGAATTGTTGTTTTGAAATTGTCTTTATTTTTAATACAATTTTAATGATAAAAGCGTAATCACATATTCTAATATATAAAAGTCCTTTAAAGAAAATTGATCCAACAAAAACAAAATAATAAATACTTATAAAAAATTCCAATAATGTCAATTATTTATTTATATATATACAATTTTAACAAAATGATACATCTTGCTAAAAAAAAAAACGTTAGCTAAGGGGTAACTTATATATAATAAATTATTTCAAAGCTACGTACTTAATTTTAATTAAGAGAAGATACCTAAAATTTTACCGAAATCATGCATACGTGAAATATATACATAATCTAACAAACTAGAAAAGTGGATCAATTCATTTTGCTATTTCGTTATTTAAGAAAAATAAACTCTTATATTTAGAAATTGCACCTTAGATTTATTGATTGAATTTTTTATCCACAAAAAACGTTATTCAATTGTTTGTTTGATTATTTTTTTCCAATTTTGGTCACAAAGCCAATAAAGTTAACAAATTTTCACCAGACCATTAGATGAAGAACAATATAAAATACAAAATTATTAAATTTGCTATAAAGAAATATAATTAAGTTGTCGTACTTACTAATAAATATGAACAAAAGTAATAAATAAAAATGTTATAATTAATAAAAATAACTATAAAACTTTTAAAATTGTACTTGTCAATGCAAACGAACTGAATTGTTCAATGCTTGTTAATTTTTTGTTATTAGTTCTATGTGTAAGTTTTAGGTGATAGAAAATAGTTATTTGTACTTTTATCTATGTAGGTTAGAACTTTTATTTTTTAGAAAAAAAAATAATTATTTTAATTTTAAATAAGCTTTTATTTTCTATTATGTTTTTGAATATAATATGTAAATATCATATTACATATATAAAATAATAATTATTTTTATTTAATATTTACTATGTAAGAAATTTAACTCAATTGAGAAATTAATATGTAATTTTGAGATAAATTAATGAATGATTTTAAAAAAATATATGGACCAAAAAGTTCATATGTTAAATATATTTTTAATAGAAAAATTGTAGGTATTCTACTGAAAGTGCTACGAATATTCCATTAGTGTAGTGTTCATTGGAAAATTTCCTGGTCTATTCCAATAGAGATCAAATTAAATTACATTGAATTTTTTGTTGATTTAATGATTACAATTACCATTATTTACTATTGTGTGAATTTCAGTTAGAATTTGTTTTCGGATCATATTTCAACTGTTGGAAAAACTGTCACTGAAATTTTAAAAAATTCAATAGAAGTTTATGGAAAGCTAACTGCAGTGGAGGATACAAAATAATTTCATATTGGGGGCATTATTTAGTTAATAGAAAAATATATCATCAAAATTACATAATGCACTACAATTTATAAATTATACTACTTTTCATAGTTTGTCATTTTTCTCATCTGTAATACATTTTTAGCACATATAAGTAAAAAAAAAAAAAATGCATGATTTTCCTTAATTCAATATAAGAAAATCATTGAAAACAATATATTTTTAGAATTTTTTAATGAACAAAAACTTTATGTGGTATTATAGTTGACTGCACACTATAATTCATGAACTTACAAATTATGAATATTTGAATATAATATTAATGAGATAATTTTTATTATACATTGTAAAATATAAAGATATATAATTAATTGATATATAACAGGACATATGACCCACAAAGTTCTACAATTTATTTTATGATTTTTAACAAATATAAATGTTATATACAACTGCTTTGGGGGCCAGATTCAAAAGGTCTTTTCTCAGTTTCCAGCACATACAACTGCTTGGTAGCTCAAAAGCTCATAAGGCTGGACATTCCTGAAGCAAGTACAAGCTTTTTCCCTCCACATCAAATCTATCTCAGGTGCTGGAAAATGAAGATGCAAGGAAAAATCAAACACTTCCTATGGAAGTGCATTTCTGACACCTTACCATCTGCAGTCAATTTGAGAAAAAGAGGTGTAGATGTTCCTGTCATATGCTCTATCTGTGACGACCAACCTGAGACTACAGAGCATATTCTTTTCCACTGTCCGAGAGCTAGTAGAATTTGGGAGACAAGCCCAGTTCATTGGGATGGCTTACAAAACTTCACCTTCTCCTTCAGAACTTGGTGGCAGCAGGTTAGTTCATTAAAGCAGAATGAAGTAGTCCAAGCCAGGATTCAGTTGAGTACATATCTTTTATGGTGGCTATGGAAATCACGCAACCTCTGGATATTCAAAAAATCACTAATGCCTGAACACATAGTGATAGCAGCTGCACAGAAAGACTGGTTGGAAGCTTCATCTGTTGCTGGATCATCCTCGAACTAGACTGAGAAGGCTGTTGCTGTTACTATGTTAGTTGAGGCTGTTGTTGATGTTTTTGTTATTTTTTTAGTTCTTGTTTTTTAGTTTCTCTTTGTTGGTGATAATGCCATCTAGCTAGGCCTTATGGCAGTGGAGAGATGCATTACCCTTTGCTGTTTTTTTTCTTTTGCTTATGTGTTGGTGAGGTTCTAGGTACTCTGCGTAGTACCTCTCAGTTTCAGTTTGGTAGTTTGTTGTATATCGCCTGTAAACTCTTTGTGATTATTTATATCATCTCTATCGTTCTGACCAAAAAAAAAATGATTGTTCTAATTTTAAATAACTTTTTTATTTGCTATTAGTTTTTTAAATATAATATACAAATATCATATTACATTTATGCAATAGTAAATATTTTCATAATTTAATATTTAATATGTAAGAAATATAACTCAATTAAGAAATTAATAGATAATCTTGAGATAAAATAATGAGTGATTTCTCAAAAAATTAAATGGACTAAAAAGCCATGTGTATAATGTATTTTTAATAGAAAATAATTAATTAATAACAAAAAATACTATATAAAAATTTAATGTTTAAGAATGAATACAATAAAAAAAATCCAACCGTAAGTGCGTGACCCGCGTGTCTCTACGTGACTCCTTTGCCTCTGTGCGTGACCCGCATGTCTCTATGCAAGAACCGCGTGTCTATGTGCGCGACCTGCGCCTCCCCAGAGCGCGCATCGCGCAGCGCACGACGTACTCCCAACGCGCAACGCGCGCCGGCCATGCCCGACAACGCACGTACACAAAAGGCGCAGCCGCGCAGTCCAGCCCACCCCAGCTGCACCAGGGACCCGACAGCGACCCAGGCGAGCCGCAGTGACCCAGTAGCGACCCGACAGCGGCCAGTCATGGTTCGGCAGCCCGCGTGGGACGTAGTGCAACCGGTAATGGTTCGGCAAAGACCTAGGCGATTCAAGACGTGACTTAGATTTCGAGAAGCGCATTGAGGCAATTGCGATGGTACGAACACCGATGAGAGGTTTAGACAATCTCTATCAACGGAAATAAAAAAAAAAAAAAACGTTTCAGAGTCGACATAAGTTTTAATCAGCACATGTTGAACCCTTGCTTCTAGTTCCGCTACGCTTAGAGTTTAACTAACCGAGCCCCAACATGCATTAGCCATATATAATTCAATTACGAAAAACTGTCGGTCTTAGTATTTATGCAAATAAAAAAGTTATATTTTTTATTTTTGCTAATTAATATATATGAGTTGTATATCTGCAATAAAAATGTGTTGAGGTGGTTGACTAAGTAATTTTCTCTTATTATAATAGATTAATTTACCATGGGTTTTGATGCCGAAAATGATGCAAGTATTAATAAATTCATCAAGGAAAATGTTATATTCGGTAAAGTCGATCCTACCCCATAGGACACTGCCACCATGGGGTTTTCCACACACCCACATCCGCACATAAATGGTTAAAATACCCATGGGGCAGTGCCCCTTGGGTAGGATCGATTTTTTCATTTTATTCTATGGAAAAATAAATAGAAACGCAAAGCATAATTACTTATTTAACCTCATCTGTCAACTCTAAAGGATGATTGTTAGGCGATCAAAATTGGATTTGATCCATCAGAATTTGACTCACTCATTTTAACTCAAAATCTAACTAAAATTTGACTCAACCCTACTATCGTCAATGTTATCAATATAATTAAATAATCAAATTATCTCTATATCACATCAACTTTAATTCACTATTCATCCACTAATATATTTTTAACTACTTATCATTTTTTTACTTTTCTACTTTAATTTATATCACATCAAGTTTAATTATTACATCTTAAATATTATTTAATTATATTTTCTTTCATCCATTCAATCAACTTTATTCAAAATAACTCAATTTAATTCGTTTCAACTTAAAATCCAATTTCGATCGATTTTTATTAGTTTTAACTCCCTACCAATCACCCCAACTTTTCATCTCCAGTTTCAGGGAGAACAAATATTCTTGCACATAGAAAAAAGCGAGTTAAATAAAGAGAGATAAATTAAACCAATGCAGACGACCATTTCTTCATTATTTTACCTACATTACAACAAAGATAAAAATAAGCAGTTAAATAGAGATAAAAATAAGCAGTTAGATAGAGAGAGAGGTAAAAAAATGGAGCCTGCAAAAGGTCCTTGAGAAGACCACCAGCAGGAATAAGAGAGAAAAAAGCAACACACATATGCACGCACACGCATATAGATATAGATATGAGAGAGAAAGCGTGTAAGTATTGTGGACGGTGTTAGTGTGGAAAAGGGAGCTATTTTACAATTTTGAAAAGGAGAGAGAATTGCTGCTAGCATTTGGTCTGTGTGCTGTCCTCAACATTCACTCCCCATTCCCAAAGCTCCTCTTGTCTTGTCTCAAAAGTGCCTTTCTTCCTCTGCATCCCCACCTCTCGCCGGAGATTTCTCCCGGCGCCGGCACCGGCGCCATGGAAAAATTGCCGACACTTTACTGAAAACTTCAAAACTTTTCTAGTTTCCCTTTCCCCTTTTTATTAGGATTATTGTTCTCATCAGCTGGGAGGTAAGTAAAGGGGAATGTGTGTTTTGATCGCGTTAAAAGGTTGAAGGATTTGATTTTCCCTTTTTGTCTGATTGTTTCTTGTCCCGCGAGATGAGGGACCGGTGAGGAAAAAACCCCGGCAGATAACTCGAGCTGGAAAACAGCAGAGCTCCCGGAGGCACCAATTTATGCACAAGTAAAATGAAGACGGCGACCGCCGGCGCCGGAGCTCAGCAGGCAAGCGCCTCCGCTTCCACATCCGCTGCTGAAGGTCCATCTCTCCTATTAAACCTATCCGCCAGATTTACGGTTATGCAATCGATAAAACAGATTTCTCATTTGGATAACACAACTCGAATTGATTTTTATTTTTATTTTCAACAGATCTTTCTGCCATTTTCTTTTTGAATTTTTCGCTGTCCTCAAATTCGAATCCCTTTTGCTGATTTTACTTCTGTGTCGTGGAAAAATTAATGGCCAGCGGAAACTGAGAAGAAGAATATAAACAGCGAGCTATGGCAAGCGTGCGCAGGCCCACTGGTTAACCTACCGGCGGCTGGGACCCACGTAGTCTATTTCCCTCAAGGCCACAGTGAACAGGTTCATCTTCTTCTTCATCTTTGTTTTCTCATTCTAAGGTAAAATCTTTTTGTTTTCCTGTTGTTACTAACAGAAGATGAAGATTTACATCGTGTATAATCTACTGGTACGCGTCTTGACTGTTAGTGAAGTTGTGTTGCAGCTGCTAACGTGCGCGGTTCTGAATCGCTGCATAATTTGATTGCATAATTTGATCACATGGGACGATTCCATGATTCGTCATTATTATAATTCTTTTTTTTTTTTTTNGTGTTTAATAAATGCTATGTGGATTTTGTGTGGGTATGTCTATCAGTCCTTGTTATCGTGAGCTGGTATATGGAATAATTAAGTATATGATGTATTTGACATGTGGAGTAGTTTGCAGACATGAGTTTATGATAGCCAAAGGTTATACCTAAAAAAGAGAGGAGGGTTGTAGAAAGGGGCAGAAATATAGTGACGGTAGTTTATGGTCTAATTTGCGCAGCTTTGCTGGAATGGGTGGCCTTTTTTATTTTTTGGTCAATTTTATTTATTTATTTTTGCGTTACGGGCATTTTGTGACATTTTTTTCCACTTTCGGCTGGGGTATTATATTCTTTAATCATGTTCATCTCCTATTCAACAACGCCATAGCCACAACGCGTTTAAAAATTATTTCCACAAAAAATATTCATGCTTGGAAATTTGTATGATAAAATTAACACGTGAAGCTTGTTTTCTACCCATAGTATTCGAATATTTCAAATAACATATACTTGGTGTACATAATTTTCATCATTATGATGTACACTATGAAGTATGACACAATTAAATAAAAATAAAATGAATGAGACCTACCATATGTTACTGTATCTGTATGTATACTATTATGTACAAAAATTATGTACATATAGCACTGTCCGGATGATATTTATCAACACTCAACTGTTGTGTTTGATGATGATTATATTGCATAAGTTATAAAAGAACAATNCTCTCTTGTAAGATGCTCCAAAAACCTGTGGTGTCCAATTTGCAGCTCTGTGCTGGAGAGATTGACTGAAGTTTTGTCTTTGTTTAAGCCGAATAGCAATATTGTTATGGTATGCTTTATTGGACATTGCATGTTCAAGTTCAACAATAGATAAGCTGTGTGAAAATCTGAAATTCCCATGCATTAGAATTTTTTGTTTGGTGTAAATCCAGTGATAAAACTCGTGACATTTGCATTTATGATAAAGATCCACTAAATATGATCACTATTTGTCTCCACTAGTTTCGCCCTTAAAAAAAAACATGTATGTTTTCTCTAGTTCATGATTTAAAAGGGATGTGGTCCATGTATTCTTTTTCATAGAGTGATTTTTCTAATTCCAATACCTTCACCTTGCCTTTATCAGGTTGCAGCATCTACGAAAAAGGATGTTGATGCTCAAATCCCAAACTACACAAATCTACCCTCAAAACTGTTATGCCTCCTTCACACAGTCACGCTGCATGTATGCTCGACTCAACTTAGAGCATTCATATCTAAATTTTCTGAATGTGAAATTAATAGCATACTGTACTATCAATCCTCTTAGGCTGATCCAGAAACTGATGAAGTTTATGCTCGGATGACCCTCCAGCCAGTGTCCTCGGTATGCTTTCCCATTTTAGGTCGAATAATGAAATGTCAACTACATATGAGAAGAAATTAACTCTTGAAAGTGGAAACCATAGAATAAAATATTATATGCCTCTGAAATTGCAGTTTGACAAGGATGCTTTACTGAGGTCAGATTTATCAATCAAAGTTCACAAGCCCCAGACAGAGTTTTTCTGCAAAACCCTGACAGCAAGTGATACCAGCACTCATGGGGGTTTTTCCGTGCCTCGTCGTGCAGCAGAAAAGATTTTCCCTCCACTGGTTAGTGCTAATGATCCTTGTTGTCGATTGTATGTTTCTTAATTCTTATATACTTTTTTTTTCTAAGACTGTTGGTGTTGTTATAAGGACTTCACAATGCAACCGCCTGCACAAGAGCTTGTGGCCAGAGATTTGCACGATAATGTGTGGACTTTTCGTCATATTTACCGTGGTAAGTCAAAACACTTACGAGCAATGAAATTCTAGTATAATAAGAATTCCAATATTTGTTTTTTTTTTTTTCGAAATAATAGTTAACCACTCAATTTACAAACATGGCCTCAGATTTTCCTAGCTACTTAATACACGGTCCTTGTTTAAGGGTGAAAAATTTCAAACTAGGAACAAATGCCCATATGATAAATTCAATATATTCAGAATGCCTTTCGTTTTACCCTCAATCCTTCTTCTTTTGGTTAACATGACTATTTTTTAGTGGTAATTTTATAACTATCCACATACCCTAGTGTACACATGTTGCTTAAGAGTGTGTGTGTATATGAAAAACTCAATTCATACTCAAAATCCAACTCAACTTTAACCCAACTCTATTATTCTCAATATTATCAATATAATTAAATAATATCAACCAATCATTCTTACACATCACATCAACTTTCATTTACTATTCATCCACTCACATAATTTTAACTACATATCACTTCACATCATCTCTCTCCTACTTTTGAATCAAATCAACTTTAATTATTTTATTTAAAATATTATTTTAATATATAAAATCAAAATCCCACTAACTAACTATACAACTTTTTCCAAAATTAACTCTGGTTAACTAAAAAAACTCATTTTGAGCGGATATATTTGTATACAGACACGCCCTAAATCTTGATGATTGTGTAATTTAGGGCAACCTAAACGTCACTTGCTTACGACCGGGTGGAGCCTTTTTGTCAGTGGAAAGAGACTATTCGCTGGTGACTCAGTTTTATTCATTAGGTAATAACAACTGCAGAAGTTCCACAGACATCTGTAAATAAAGTTTTTCTCCCTAAGTGTTGATATAGTGTGATATAGCCTTCTTTCATGTGGAAACAGGGACGAAAAGCAGCAGCTCCTTTTGGGCATAAGACGGGCCAACAGGCAGCCGACCAATTTATCATCGTCCGTTTTGTCTAGTGATAGCATGCACATAGGCATTCTAGCAGCAGCTGCCCATGCCGTTGCCAATAACAGTCCTTTCACCGTGTTTTATAACCCAAGGTTGTTTTTTTCCGAGTATTACTAAATAAAGCATCACTTGTGGAAGTTTTCAGTATCTTTTGCCACAAGCTGATCCGAAATAAATTGTGAACATTTCTATTTAAATTATAAGTAATATATTTATTTGAATGTGGGCAGGGCTAGCCCGTCGGAATTTGTGATCCCTCTTGCCAAGTACTACAAAGCCACTTGCAGTAACCAGATATCTCTTGGCATGCGCTTTCGCATGATGTTTGAAACTGAAGAATCTGGAACAAGAAGGCATGTAGTGTGTAATATAATCCTTTTATTGTGATAATATGGTTTTAATATTTTTGCATTATAAATTCCCATGCACCTTTGGGCAGATATATGGGTACGGTTACGGGAATCAGCGACTTGGATCCAGTCCGGTGGAAAAACTCTCAATGGCGCAACTTACAAGTAATGTTGTCCATATATTATGCATTAGTAACTTACACATTCGTCCTTTTGGTAATAGTGTCCATACATTATGCATTAGTAACCCTCACTTTTGCATTCTACACAATTAGGTCGGGTGGGATGAGTCGACAGCTGGCGAAAAGCGTACCCGTGTCTCCATCTGGGAGATTGAACCCGTAACTGCCCCATTTTTCATATGTCCCACACCGTCTTTCTTCTGCCCTAAGCGTCCAAGACAACCAGGAATGCCAGGTAAAAATAGAAAATAAATAACTAAAAAGAAATTAGAAATGTATATAAGGGATTGCAATCCTATAAAACACATGAGTTTGTTAAAGAAAGGCCTGAGATCTTCAGAAATTACGACAGACTGCTCAATTTTTGGTTCTGTATTAAATTTCTTACCCTTCACATACATCTAACATAAATTCAAACTTCAGGAGTTGCATGGGTGGGGTAGTAATAGTTCTTGTAATTTACAAGTTTTCTCGGGTTTTTAGGCGTAGTTATTCTTTTGTGATCTCTTTTGCAGATAACGACCCTACTGATCTCGACAGCATATTCAGGCGTACAATGCCGTGGATTGGGGACGACTATGGCTTAAAATACCCACAATCACTCCCAGGCCTCAGCCTAATTCAGTGGATGAACATGCAGCAGAATACGTCCCTCAATAACCCCATGCAACCCAACTACATGGGCTCGGTTTTACAAAACTTGACCAGCACGGATATCTCACGCCAGCTAGGCCTGTCGGCAGCTCAAATGCCACCTCAGCAGAGCAACATGCAGTTCAATTCTCAAAGGCCAAGCCAACCAACACAACAACTGGACCAACTCCAGAAGCTGCAACCTTCTTTAACAAACCCGTTGGGCTCAATTGTGCAACCTCATCAACAGCAGTTGACCGATATAAGTCAACCGAGACAGATTTTGACCAGTCAAACTTTGCCAACTGGCCAAGGGCCAAGTAGTAGTTCTATTGCAGCTCAGAATGTTTTTCAACAGCCACAACAGCTTCAGAGAAATTTTCCGCAAAATCTAATGCCAGCACAGATGTCAGATCCAATGTTGTCAGAAAATCAATTACAGACACAGCTTCTTCAGAAGCTCCACCAGCAGCAACAGTCACTCTTAGCACATCAATCAGTCATGCCACAGCCAGCTCCCGAGCTTTTGCACTTTCACGATAATCAAAAGCTTCAGGTTTTGGACATCCCACAAAACTTCCCTAGGCCTACTATGCCATCTACTCAAACTTTGGACCCATCTCACGGAACAGTTACATCGACATCTGTTATGGTCCCATCCCCAAACAACTGTCCTAATAATGTGCAGTCAATTTTGGGGGAAGAAGTTCCCCAGTCTTCGGTTCCATTATTGAGTCCAAGCGCTTTAGAGACTGTTCCTTCGAACGGGGACATAACAAAAGAATTGCAAAGAAATGCTGCTTATGTGAAGCCGTCAATGAATGTATCCAAAAATCAAAGTCCAGGCATTGTGGACAGCTCTTCCTCTGCAACATCGGTGCTTTCTCAGAATGAGGTCCAGATGTTGAACTCGCAATCGATGTTACTTAGGGAAGTGGGCCCGGAAGATAGCCAGCTGGAGATGCCCATGATTCCTGAGAACATGATGGCCAATAACGTGGTGGAGCCCTATAAGGACTTGCAGGCGGCTAATAGGTCAAGCTACGAGAACCAAAAGGAGGGGCAGGCTGAGCTGTCGACTTCTATGGTTTCACAGTCGTTTGGGGTTCAAGATATGGCCTTCAACTCCATTGACTCGTCGATCAACAATGGTGGCTTCATGAATAGGAGTGCATGGGCCCCATCACAGATACCACGGATGAGGACGTATACCAAGGTATGTTGTTTGACGGTTACATCCAGAAAAAAGCAATCTTGATGTTTTGTTCTAAATTGGAAAAAAGAGTTGGCTTTTTTTAAAAAGATAGCCATAATTGCTGGGTTTTTCTCGAATTTAGTGCATAAACTTATCATTACTTGTTTATTTATGATCATTGATAAATGTCCAGGCTTGACCGTTTGTACATGTGTTCAATTCCTGCTAAACTTAACTTGGGCAATTTTATTTTTTTTGAAGGTGTACAAAAGGGGGGCCGTTGGAAGATCGATTGACATCACTCGTTACTCGGGCTATGATGAGCTGAAACAGGATCTGGCGCTTAGATTTGGCATTGAGGGACAGCTGGAGGACAGGCAGAGGATAGGGTGGAAGCTTGTGTATGTTGATCATGAGAATGACGTCTTACTTGTTGGTGATGATCCATGGGAGTAAGTCTTTCTTTTTTTTAATTATTATTATTATTATTACACCAAAACATGATTTACTATTACACTTTTTGGGGATAACAGCAAAATTCCAAATTTTGTTCTAAACATTTCTTCATAATTTTGGATTTACAGGGAGTTTGTGAGCTGTGTACGTTGCATAAAGATCCTTTCGCCTCAAGAGGTCCAGCAGATGAGCTTGGATGGCGATTTTGGGAACAATGTTCCCACGAACCAAGCTTGTAGTAGCTCAGACAATGGTGTGAATTAGTTTGAATATACGTACAATGCCAACTTATTCTTCTTCCACGTGGAAATATTAAAAATGGCAAGAGCTTTGTGCCAACCAGCTCTCAGACTTTTCTGGCTGGACTTGAAGGGGGACGGGAGTTGAGCTGTGTTATTGACCTTAATGGATTGCATGCGAAAAACATCTTTTGTGGCTCTATTCCTGCCTTCCTGGCATGGGCGAAGGTTCCGTCCCCCTTGTTTTTAGGACGAAGCACAAATGTAGAAATAGAACTAAGGTTTTTATTTAACATTGTCCTCATTGGAGCTTTTAGGTTTTTTGCTCGAGGCAATATGTCTATATCCCGCTTAAGAATTGGCTTCAATAGAAAGAAAGTGTGAGTTGCTTCTTGTAGTCAATTGGATATATGATAATCAAGTCGATGTGTCTTAAATATCGGTCCACCAAGATTATCGTTTGAACCGACTCGTCTCGATTGCCTCGTACCATGTACTGGATCAACCAACAAAATAGTGCCCGGGGCGAGCCCTAGCATAGAGACTTGATGCTCATGTTGAAAATCTTATTCTCTGTAGTGCGTCGTTCGATTATTAAGAGATTGCTCGTTTATTTAATTACTTGAGTGCATTGCACTGTCTGCCTATCTCATTAATTGGTTTTATTTAGCTCGACTAATTTACTATTAAGTTCAATAAGATTAATTAGATGTCCTCGTCTATGTCACACCCCGCCTTACTAGCTTTGAAAAATCAGAGTAAAATTTTTGTTTTTATTTTCGAAAGGACGTGCGAGCTTGGTTTTCGAAAATACTGACTTATTGCGGGATGTCACAGATAAAAACTTAACTTAACTGGCTCACAGACATAAATAAAACATGCAACAAAGCTATCCGCTACGGATAATGGAATTAAACATGCTAAGTCTGTACTGCCTCGCACTGTCTAGAAAACTGGCTAGCGGAAGCATCCGAAATACGAATATATAACATGCATACATAACTGAATAAATATACATGATCATAGCTAGGACATAAAAAATGTGCGTAAAATATGTCCGACTCTCATGACCACACTGCGCCACATCTGTGCTCATCTGGCACGCTCGACTCCGTCTCCTGAAAAACACAATGGGGGCGTGAGCAAACCACTATGCTCCGCAAAGACCAGTACTGAATAAAACATCATCTATAATAACGTGTCATGAACATAAATATATAAGAGCTGAAACTGTAAACTGTTCTTTGCTTTCTTTTCTGATCTGTGGTCAAAAGACCCTCGGCCTTGGCCGCTCGTGTGCACACGCCGATGGGGTATAAAGGCCTCGGCCCCCCAACGGTCATCAGGTGGTGATGGGTCTACTTCCAGATCTGGAGTAAACCGGTTGTTGTGAGCTTAGATCTGCTTGAACCGCTTCCCAACCGTCACTAGACCGCGAGATTCCTGCAAAAACTCAACGCCGGAGGTGTTTCCGGCGTAGAGCCTCCGACGCTCAAGTCAGTATGAGAATGATGAAGAGATGCTGCGCAACAGCTATGGGGGAGAATGGGAATGAATGAGAGTTAGGGTTTGGGTTACCTTGTCTCCTTTATATAGGAGTGAATACTTACTTGAAGTGCCCAAAATGCCCAGGTCGGTGGACCTAGAAGGTTTAAAATACCCTGGTCGATTCGTCTCCCCTTGTTGCTGAGTCATTGCAAGATTCCTTCTTATCCTTGGTAATGTGTAGGGCTTTGGATATGTTGCAAGTGTGATGAATCGTCTTCACCACTTTGATCCTCTAGATGTACAGAGTCGACTTCGAGAACAAGGAGGTCGACTTACGAATATATGCGGTTTCGGAGGTTACACCTGGTTTAATTCCCTGCGGTGGTCGTCTCTCAGAGAGTCGTCATGAGGAAGTCGACTAGTGGAAGTCGACCTAGAGTATCTGGATGGTTGGGAGTTGCATTCTTGATGTCCCTCCAGTATGAGGTCGACTAGCAAAAGTCGATAGTTAGAGGTCGACTTGTGAGAGTTGACTAGACCAATTTTTGCCTCTTCTTGATTGTTTTCGGTAGAATCGACTTCAGGGAAGTCGACTTGAGCATGTCGACGAGTCACCTCGATATGTGAGTCGTTCAAGTGGCTCACCGGTCGAGTAGAAAGCCTCAATAGACCGGGTTATCCTTATGTGACTATATCATCTAGTCCCCCCCGAAAATTACTCTAAACAGTCGACTGTTTAAGAGTAAATTTGGTAATCGACTTCTTTTATTAACTATACTCGTTCTTTGTTCCTCGACATCAAAGCTCTACCCTTGTGGCTATTCGATGTTGTAGTGGTCTCATCATTGTCTTCTGGATAGTTCTGACAACCTGACATCTTTTCAAATTTCGAATTTCAAATTCGTAGTTATCACATCACTTTAAGTCCGCCGCCTCAAATTCCGCGACTCATCCGAACCGTTGATTCCAATTGAACCTAAAGGCTAAGATCCTCCTTTATCCTGTATAAATATCTTCCCCATCGGTCCCAAATCACTTTTCACTTCCTTCTCAAACTCTTCTGAGCTTTTGAATCTCTCCGGCAATAAAGCGCTTCCGAGCTTCATCGGCAACCGCAAGCTTCAAGACTTTCAGCGACAATCATGTGTAAGTATTACGCTCTTTGTACTTTTTGCTCTCTTCTTTTTTCTTGATTTTTCACGATTTTTTGCACTTTTCTGGGTTTTTCTGATCTGGAGCGCCCTTGCATGTTCTTCATGTTCTTATCTTTTTGTGCGATTCTTTGGGTTAGATCTTCTTCACTTAGAGATTTTCTTGGGTTTTCTGTTTGCCACCGCCTTGCCCCCCTCGGTTTTTATCGCGTGAGTCGGGTTTTTCTTTAAGTCGTTTTATGCTAGATGCGTCGACATGCACTATGCCCTTCTCGTCTTCGCTAAGTCGAGCATCATTCCGTGGTTCCATCTATCTCGAATCCATTTTCTCGTCGCTTCCCTTCTATTCTTCTGGCTCGACTTGTGATGATTTCCTCGAGTCGAGTTGTGTTAACTCTTGCTTCATGCTGACTTCTTTTCGCCTAATCGATTTTTCTTTCGTTTCTTTTTCTAGATTCTGATCCCGACTCTTCACCCGATACTGTCGAACGCTTGATCGACGCAGGCGCTCAGTCATCTGATTCGGTACAAATAGTCGGCTTTAAACCAGCCGATCAGTCTCTGAATTCTCATTCGGATGTTTCTTCTTTCGGCATCGATCAAGATGCTTATAGACAAGCGTGGATGTCGGGTGTCTTGACTGAAGATCCCGAATCTTCCCACGTTAAGGAGTCTCCTCGTCTCGACCTCATTCCTCGAGGTATTCCCCTTAGGATCTTGGACTTACCTGTATATAGAACTAGTCCTTCTTTGCCCGTACTTGCGCCTCTTCTCGAGGCTCGAGATGTTGTTTCCATAGCATGTCCTTTAGCTAAGTTAGCTGTTCTAAATCCTTTTTGTTATGCCTCTGCAGCCGAGGTCGAGGGCTTTAGGGTGTACAGCGGTCTTCCCGCAGACTGGGAACTCGTTATTCCCAAACCAAATGACGACTTTGCTACACCTCCTCCTGGCTTTTACACTTCTTTTATCGACCAAGTGTTGTTCGGACTTCGTTTTCCCATTCAACCCGAGCTTCGCGCTATCAGCGACTTGTACGATGTACCTATAAACCAGTTTTCTCCTAATGCGATTCGCATCATGATCGCCTTCATTGTTGTATCCCGAATAAAGCTCAAGTATTTTTCTCCAGAGTTTCTTTTTTATTGCTATAGCTACCGATTCATAAAAGACGCCCATTGCTTGGGTCGTCGCGCTGGTGTCACCTTTCTCGATGACCTTTCCTCCAATGTAACTAAATGGAAGTCTAAATTTGTTTTTATTCGACCTGCTTCCGGTACATACCCATATCCAAACACTTGGATTAGATCCAAAGTCAAACAAAATAAACGGCCACCGTGCCCCAAATTCGAATCGATGCTGGTCGAGCTCAATAAGTACACTTTCAAAGCTCGGCCACTGATCAAAGAAATGTCCCTCCTTAATCATGTCGGTCTTGTTGTCGACGAGAATCTTCCTCGTCTCGACGATCCTCGTAAGTAATTTTCATTCTTTCACTATTTTGAATCTTTATGCTGGTGTCTGATACTTGATGCTCGTTTGTAGATTCCGTTCTCGCTCGATTTGAGAAGTCGACGGCGGCTCGACCCACCCCTCCGAAGAAGCCCGACTTCGTCTCGGGGTCGGGTGCGGGAGAGGCAGTGGCCGAGACGACTGCTGCCAAAAAATCAAAGGTTGCACCCCCGCCTTCGGGGAGTCAGAAGAAGGCGTCGGGCTCGCTTCAGCGGAAGCGGGCTCAAGATTCGGGTGGTGTTACCCTTGTCCCTGGCCCGCTCAAGCGCCAAAAAACAAAGGACAAGGGTAAGGTCGTCGAGCAAACTCCTCCACCCGGCCAGCTCGAGACGGTTACCCTCGAGAGACCCTCTCGCCTTTGGGATCACCCTCATCCCCACGAGATAGCTAAATATTTCGACTCCATTATCTCTGCTGCCGACAAGGCCCGCGCCGACCGAGATCCTTACGACCGTGCCAGTCGCGCACTTCTTTGCCTTTCTAGGGTAATGTACCTTCTGCACTTGGTTGATTATTTCTACTTTAGCTTCAACCTTTTCTAACTTCGTTTATTCGCGGTTCTTTTCAGTTCATGGCCTTTATTATGCCCTCTCTCCTCGAGGACACCAGCTCTCCCGACTCCGACATTCGTGCTTACAAGAAGAAATATGAGGATCTGCTTCTCGAGCTCGAGAAGAAAGATGACGACCTCTTGGCTGCCAATGCTCTGATTGCCAAGCTGAAGACCGAGAAAGCTGCTGCCCTCTCCAAAGTCGACCAGATTCAAGCCGATTTGGCAAAGGCGACTGACGACGCGATGGTCGAGAGGGAGGCGGGGATCCTCGAGGGACGCAGGACCTTCCTCAAGTCACCAATGGGTTCTGTGTTCCTCGAGCACTATCGCCAGGAAGCTGTAAATCTCTTTTGCAACTCCCCCGCCTTTCTCGACAAGCTATGCCTTGCGACTCTCCAATACTTCAACTACACGTTCGACGCGTGGGAGAAGGCCGTGGAGAATACTGAATGCGCGGGTAAGCTCGACCGCGAGACCGTCAAGCAGACCCTTCCTTTCCCCGATGGCTATAGGGGCGATGCGACTCTCCCCTCGGACCACCCGTGGTGGGTCGGCCTTGAGGCTAGAGCCATTCGCAAGGCCGGATTGGGTGGTCGGCTCGAGGTTCCTCCCGCCCCTTTGGCTGGTCTGACCGAACTAGTCGGGCCAAATGGGGCAGATCACACGGGGTCCTCTGATGCCGAAAAACGTGAAGGGCAGGTCGGGGACGAAGAGGTTGAGGGGGCAGAGCAGGAGGAAGTTCGTGCTGATGAAGGCGAGAAGACCGAGACGGTCGTTGCTGGTGGTGGTAGCGAAGAGGAAAAATCTGATGCTGAGTCGTAGAAATGTTTATGTTTTTGTTGTTTGTTTTGTTTTGAAGGTGTGTTGCCTCGGCCTATTTTCAAAATATGTAAAGGTCGAGGCGACTTGGTATGTAATAGAATTCATCAATATTACTCCCTTTTTTCTTTTTTATCGCTTGTGTTGATTGCATTTCGAATTATCTTGCTGTTACTTCCTGGGCCGACCCTGTCAGAG